TTTTTTTTTTTTTTTTTTTTTTTTTTTTTTTTTTTTTTTTGGCCAAGCGATTTATGTGTGGTATCTCCTTGTGTTCTCTCTTCAGGGTTTTAACAGCATCTTCACGATAGGTGTACCAGGACTGTATTCAAAAGTAGTGTTGCTGGTACCATATGGAGAGATAACTGTTGCCTTCCTATTTCCCTTGTTTAACAAGGCCAGTAATCTGATTAAGTTTCTCCACCCCTATGAGCTCTTCTTTGCCACCACTATTGTACTGGAATCTCACAATGAGTTACTTATCTATTATGCGTTCCTCATTCTTTCCAGTCATTGCTTTCTTGTAGGCGGCTACATACCTTTCATAGCAAGATTTGCATTTCTTATTCTGAGATATTTTACTTCTGGAGTTGCCTGTATTAAAATGCATTTTGTTTGAATAGGCTCACTTCAGCGAGTGATCCATATTGTTCTGTATGAGTGCTCTGTCCTAGCCATTATTTGCCACTCCATCAATTTTTGTCATCTGCAGATGCTGGCGTCACTAGTTTTTTTTCCTGTACCTTTTTACTGCATTTTTTTCCCCATCATTGTGGAAAATGGTGACCAGCACCTGTTCCTAGTATTATGGTCTCGTACACCCCCAGCCTCCCCAGCCCATTTTTTTCCCCAGTAGTTCTTGTCAGCAGTGAATGGACTCTTCTACAGCGTCACATGCTATAGTTATGCTCAGATTTGAAGTCTTAACTGATTTCTCTATTAGCTTTCCCCATACTTTTTTTTTTTAATTGATGTAAGATTAATTGGTTCATTAGATAGCTATTCCTGTAATTTCAGTTTTAAAATGATTCCTGTAATTTCAGTTTTAAAATGATTCCTGTGCTTGGAATGTGGAAATACTTCATTGCAGTGGGATAACAATTTCCTGTGTGCCTCTGTAAAGCATGGCACTCACCCTGCTGTCTCAGACAGCTTAAGTGTGATTGAGTAACTAGAGCCAGTTGAAACATGTTGTCGCCTTCCAGCTTTGTTCTTAGTTTCTGAATTTCCTCCTTTTTCTCCTGAATCCCAAAAGGCTTTATTAAGACAGCTTTGTGGGAACCATTAACTCTAAGCTGCATAATTATGTTACTATGAGCGTTGACTTAGTTTATAGTAGGAAAAAAAAAAAAAATCGTGTGTCTCTAGAAATTTATATTCCTTAATGACAGAATTTTAACTTAGTAAATTAAAAGGTTTACTCAATTTACCTAGGAAGTTTTAGTAATTACCAGCAAGAGAGTTTACCTGCAGAACTACTAAACACAATAAAGTAGGTTCTGTGAAAACATGACACTCTCAGGAGCTGCCATGTTATTATGCTTGTTCTTCACCTTCCAAATTACAGCTAAGACTCTCATGTACTTAAAGAAAAGGATGGTGATGCTGTATAGCTTGCTTTGTTTTTAAGTGGGGACCAATGTTTAGCACTCAGAATTGTATGCATTTGTGATGCTAGAAATCAGGCCAGGATATTTATTTTTTTTGTTTGTTTGTTGTTTTTAATCTGAGGCATGTGTACAAAGATTAGTGCAGTTAAAATAATCCTCATGCCATTATTTGCATGGTACTGTGTGACTTCACTCTCACTGTTACATTTTAGACCACTTAATAACAGGCCACTTCCCTTTCACTCTTCTTCCCCTGCCATCCCCATCACATCCAGTTACTACAGCAAGGCAGACTGTGTTCCTCTGTCACCCTCACAGTGCCAACTGCAATAGCCATACTTGTGTCTTGTGATCAGGAGGTGGCATGAGAAACAAACCTTTCCACCATATTTTCACCCTGAAAGGCCCAAGATCTTTTATTTTTTAGTGATCTGCAACAAATACTCAGGTTTCTGGGATGGATGGACAAACTGATTTTTTTCAGATTTTGGTGATGGACTTAATTAATTATTCACATCCTTATTTATGTTACTCCTGTTGAGAAATGGGCTGGGGAGGCTGGGGGTGTACGAGACCATAATACTAGGAACAGGTGCTGGTCACCATTTTCCACAATGATGGGGAAAAAAATGCAGTAAAAAGGTACAGGAAAAAAAACTAGTGACGCCAGCATCTGCAGATGACAAAAATTGATGGAGTGGCAAATAATGGCTAGGACAGAGCACTCATACAGAAC